AATAAAGTTCTATCCTGGGAGCAGAAGCTATTAACACAAAGAGAGTGGGCTCGCAAGAGGGATCTGAAAAAGAGTAAAGACGCTTGGGAAGAACAAGCAAATGTAGGAGGCAGGTTGCAAGAGAAATGATGGTGCAAGTAGGAGGAGGAGCAAAGGCAAGAAGAGTGGGTAGAGCATGGGGATGTGGCAGGACAGGAAGAACAGTCACACAGGCACAGGGCAGATCTGTACAGAGCTCAGAATCAAGAAAAGGGAATATCTACTTCATTTCAAGAGAAGAAAAGGTGGCAGCCATACAGCTGGGATGAACAGAGAGTGAGGATGGATGAGATGAGAGGTCAGATATGATCCAGGAAGGAATAAAAAAAAAAAGATAATTCTGACTCCTGGATGCTGAGGGAGTGTCTGTGAGTGCAGAAAGAAAGGGGTTATAATGGAGTAGGGGAGACCAGATCTCTAAGGCATACTAGAGATTCGGCACCAGGGATGCCAGGGGCAACAGCACTTGGCTCTGCTTCAGCGTTCAGAGCAGGTTGGAAGAGCAGAGGACTGCATGTGACAGTATAAGTGGATCTATGGGCAGACTAATACTGAAGGTATATGGTAGAAGAGATGTAGGTAGGAAAGGGTGAATGAAACTGTCACTTCTACAGATCATGTAAGCAGAAAGTTTACTGTTCCTCCTTCTCAGGCCTCAGTTTGGGCTGACACTGTGCAGTATGACAATACTGTCAGCCATTTTTTTTGATGACAGAGATGCCACACTGGCTTAGTGGGGACCTGGGCCACTGAAGTGTGAAAAGGCTGTCACAGTGATGATTCTGCTTCAGTGCTTTTGGCTCCTGAATCCCTAAAATATCAAGATAAAAAAATGGAATTCAGCTCCAAAAGACAGGGTGCCCAGAACAGCTTAGTACTTGCCTTTCCTTAATTTTAAGTGATGTGCAGTTTGGAAACTAGGTATATATGGAAAAGAAAAACAAAAGGTCACTAAGCATGAGACTTTATAGGATTCCAGCTTATGAACAGAAGACACTGAATTTTTTCTTACCATTCCCTTACAAACCTATCTCAAGATCTCTGTAACTCTTATTTCTTTGCTCACATCTGAGTGTCAGCTATAAGTCAGTGAGGGGCTGTAAAACATCTTGTACCTTCAACACAGGCAGCTAATTCATTTGAAAGATTCTGCTAATTTTATAAACCTGGAATAGGAAACTAAAGTGAGTTGTGAATCAGTGAAGTAAACTACTGTGAAAGCTGGCTCCTGTTCCCTTCTAAACTCATGCTCAGGGATGGATGCGAACAGCCGGAAGAGCCAGCAAGTGAAATCAAGGTTGAAAAATTTAATTAGCAGGTGAAATGGAGCCAAAGAGATTGAATGGTGGAAAATTAGATATCCAGCAAGTGAAGATATTAGTGATCATGGGGCTTTTTGAAAGATAACAAACAGCATACAAGATCAAATTTATATTGTACAGTGGGAACCTCCATAATCCCTTCCAAGACTATGTCTTGGCCTAGGAACCACATTGCTCTAAGACTACAGTGCACAGACTCTGTCTAGCATTGCGCAGATCCATATGCATTGCAGGAAACAAAACAACACACACGAGGGAAGGAGCTGGGCAGCTCTGGGAAAGGGAAAGGGAAGTTTCTTTGGAGGTAACCAACAACTGTTGCCAGACAGGTATTGGCTGAGATCATTCCTGTTCTCAGTCACAGAGTTTTATAGGGGCCTACAGGTGAATTTGATCATCTCTCTACAAATGAAAAAATATGCAGAAAAACTCTGGATGGCAGTAATTTTGTTAGGGATTGCAACCCTACATTTTACCATTCATTTCTTATGCATTTACTCAGCATTTTACTGTATATTAGCATTCATTCAAATAATGGTTAATAAGGCTTTAAATGACAATTTCTGAAGCAAGGGACAAAGTATACTTGACAGATTTTACTGAGGATGTAACTCTGCAATAAGGCTGTGCTTCATATGTATAATGCGCTCAGTGTGGTGCCAGCACTGCCGCTAACGTCTGCCAGCTATTGTCCCTTGAGTCTTACACCCTACTTCCTTGTAGTGGATCAGCTACCACATACATACTGCATTAATCTCCCGAGTTACTTGGTTGGCTGCACAAACTCACTTGAAGTCTGTATCTCATAGAAAGACCAACCATATAATCCTAATGATCCCATCTTGTCTTGAAATGCGCAATGACTTGGTAAAGTAATAAAACATATCAGGCATCAAAGTTAGACACGTTTGCTAAATAAAGAATGGGTTGTCATTTTATGGTTTTAAAACCTAAGGCAGAATAGTCTCCCATAGGGATAGCTAGGCGCTCTCATGTTTCTGTTATGTCTGTTTCCAGGTGTTGTCATAGTTTGGATTTCATAATTTACCCCAAGAACCCAGAGTGTAAATATCAGTCAATATAATGAGATTAAGGCAAGAAAGAACAGGCAGCACATGCTATGCGCCTGTGGGTTCGTATCCAAATTCGTATCTGCCAAACCTGCCTTGACTCAAGTACAACACAAAAGCTGCCAGTGCGGCTTAGAAGTCCTTAGAAGTCCTAAATGAATGCAGCTGGTCTGCCCTGCCAAAGAAATAGGCAGGTGGCTTCTCTTTACATAAATTACTTTTCCTGAAGACAAATGCAACAATAGTTGGCAGATTTCACTGAAGTACAAGAAAAGGTCCAGTGATGCCTAAATAGATGGAAGTAAGTGTTGCTCGTGCAGTAATCATTAATTCTGAAGTTTGTCTAGACTCCAAACCTCTGTCAAGAAGAGACGATTATAGAAAAGCTCAAAAACCAGGAGGGCTACAAAGCAGATGGGTACAGAGCAAATTTAGGAAAGAGTGCCAGAGGAAAGGGTGATCTGTGTCATGGATTTCAATATCCGAGGAGAACAGTAAAAATAGGAAAGTTTCCAAAGAACAAATGACAGTCAGGCACTTTCTAAATAAAACTAAAGGCCAATCACTCAATTGCCATTTGTGAGTTTGAAAAATTCCCAATACTTCCAGTTTGCATTATTAATTAGAAAGGAGAGAGAGAGAGAGGGCAGTGGGGAAAAATCAACAGACTCAAAAAAGTTTGGTACCAAAACTGAATGGAAAGAGACAACATGAGATGTAGCTATTCCCTGAGACTGAGATGTAATGTGCAGCCTTCCCTAAAGCTGTTGGAAGCAGGTGGGCTCCCACAGCTGCATCTCTCTGGCTTCCACTAGAGAAATGCAAGTTTTTCCTCTCACCAGAGTTCCCATGGAAGGGTCCTCATCATAAGGGATTCACTGGAGCACAAAAACCTGAGAACCAAGGGTGAGAACACAGACCTGAGGGGGGAAAATGGGAAACTCAATGCTTGACAAGACAGAAGCAGCAAAGAGGACAAAGGTGTTCAAGTTTGGGAGGTGGAGGGCCCACTTTTGACAGACCGTTTGTGTGAGTGCAGGAAGGAGAGAGATCAACATGGCTGCAGCAGTGTGAAGGGTTTTGTTCGGGATGTGTTCAATATGGTACTGTTCTTTGGGCAGATGGAAGGGGGCTTATCTAGACTAGAAAAGGAGAAATTCATTTGACAATCATACTGGTACACATTATTTCAATTTTCTTAATCTATGCAGGATCTAGGCTATTATGGAAAATTAAAACCTAAACACATTCCCAGTCATAGCTCAAGGTACTTGTCTTTAGTAGAAAAAATACTTAATTTCCTGTTTTAAATATCGTCATCTTTTTCCCTTAAAAGCTTGGAATAGTCAACCATCAGAAATACGACATGCTTTTTAATTATGGCAATGAAAAAATCTTTTTGCTTCTCAACAATGGCATGAGATAATTTTGTTAATTTTGATAACAGTTTCCTACTGACGTGGAATCCTTATTATATGGCTGAGGCAACTGACTGCAATCTACTTTCTAAGGATCATTATTGTGTCAATTTGAGCCAATTCAGCTGTTGTTTGAAATGCATAGCATACATATGTCATTTAATATTTTATTTCAAATTGCTTTTTTATTATCCATCAAACTGTTTTTCTTGTGTAAGCACTAAATGTACTTATAAAATTTAAGATACTGACCTGGATATATTTTTACTGTGTGTTCAGTTATAAATTAAATGTCATAATTATTCTAAAATAAAAAATATTTTTCAGAAAGAGGGAGCTTTCTAAATAAAATCATCTGCCCATAGACTTCCTATGAAACATGTTCTCAGATATCCTTGTAATATTAATCTTGCAGAGGGAATTCAGATGTTCTTACGATAAAAAATAGCAAATCTACAGTGACAACTAAGTGGTGATTTTCTTCACAATCCTTTCTAGCTAATCTGATTTTAGAAGACTATGAAGCACATTTCCAATTTTAAATATCTTAATGTATCACAGCCACTCCAAATGCGAATACATAGAAGTAGGATTCATGCAGAAGCAAAACAGGGGTCCACATAGTATTCCCATTTCTGGCACCACATATGGAGGGGACCAGGATAAGTCACATCATCTCCTGATGCCTCAGTTGCCCCATCAGTAAAGCAATCCATGGTGGTAACAGCCTTTGAGATCTTTGATGGAAAGACTATGTACAAAAATAGAATTTGAAAACAGTGATTTTTTAAAAATTTTTTTTTTTAGGTCTTTACTTAAATCATCATAATTCTAGATTCAGACCTAGAATTTGCAGCGAAACAGGCCGGGATCTTAATGAATGACTCACATGGGTTCACCACATACTGCCTACAGACACATTTGGGTGTTCCAGAAGCACATACTGTTTTTCAGGTTTTTTGCTTCATTTTTGGAAAACACAGGTGTCATTTATAGGTATGTACAAGTATATGCATCCACACCCCATTTATATCTTTAGAGTAAAAGTCTCAATTACTCAACATTTGCCACACCATTGTATCAAAATATCTTCTATTTAAATATAGGAGATACTATGTAGCATTCTTAAGGCAAAGTATGTTATCTGACATGAAATACATACATTTATACTTATACACACGTACTCACAAAGAATACTGTCTCTCAATATCAAGGGGGCTGTGTATATCTGGCAAGTAAAATGAAACTATTCTAATTTACATAAATAACAAGCACTGTAGAACTGACTTCAGTGTAATAGCTAACTATACAGTCACAACAGGAAAGCTCAGATAATCGTCACTGATTTCTATCTCTGGTATCCAATTATAGATCAAGACACATAAACCCCTCTGTTTCCAGCCTTTTATTCTACTATAAATCATTATGCCATGTCTCAAAATAAATACTTACAAAGTATAACACAGCATTCTAAAGCTCCCATTAAATACCAGTACCCACCTTGAGATTACTACAGATTTACAAACAACACCTTCAGGAATACCATCATAAAACACTTAAAGGTGCTCCATGAACTAAACAAGCACCAGTGGGATACAGTGGGAGGAACATATCCCAGAAGGGACATAAGCGCTGACACATGGCTTTCATTAATTTTGTGCACAAGTTAATTTACATGTTGTTCTTTTCACATCATGTCCTATCAGAACTACAGCAAGTAATTAATGAGATTGGCTGGAGTCTCTTTAAAGTTTCCCTGTCCAAGAATACCTCAATTATTAATGTTTTGATGAGTTTTCCATCCAGTGCATCTATCTGATTTCAAAACAGAACTACAAAACAGAACTGAAAGACCTTTTTTGCCCAAGGACATAAAAATAGCCTTTACCTTTCCCCCCTTTTTTTCCTTTCCTTTTTAAATAAACCCACTGCGATGCTTAGAAAGCCCATCTTTTAAATATCCTTTCCTTTCATGCACAACATGTTTTTTCACTCAGTGGTTTAAAGCCAAGCATGTATCTGTTTGTATGCATCTGTGTGTGTATTTAAAGAGACAAACCTCACTAATAAGCGATACAGAACTTAATCCCTGAGTGACTAGTGTCAATAAAGAGTTACAACAGGGACACCTTATAAAGCTTCTCTGCAAAGCAGGCAGACTCAGCGTAGTCAGTTAAGCAGACACAAATCTATTTCAGTGCATTCTAGCAGTATATCCTAAAGCATATTTTTAGCTTCAACATGCTGAATTTAAAACCTGGTTGTAACTCTCTTCCTCACTGGAGAGCTGAGCACAATCAAACAGCTCCAGGTGTATCCTAACAGAGTATGTTTACCTATACTCCCTCTCCCACAGCTCTACCTTTCTCAGGTCATGCAGCCAGCTCTTACCTCAATGGTGTACTGTTCAAAAATCCGGAGCTGAAGGAAAATGTCTAGCTTAATCTTCCTTTCATGGAAGAGCTCTTCCATCTGTACCTGGGCCTCGTCGAGCTGCTGAAGGACAGACTCAATGTGGCTGATGGAGCTATTGTGTGGAGTCTTATTGTTGGAAACAGCAGAGTCCCTGTAGCAAGGCAGAGAGCATGGTTAAAGCTGAGCTTTAAGGCAGGCAAAAGAGCAAGAACTACACATTTGTGATTCTGCGTGCTGCTGAGAAGCAAACCGAAGCACAAAGGGCTGAGGTAAGGTGTATGCAACTCTCATCTCTTCTACTTGCTGAAATCCTGCAGCTCCTGAGCTTGGCACAAAGTTTGAACAAGGGGATCATCCTTTCTTGTGTCATGACACTGTGACCTTACACACTTGGGAAGAGAAGGGGAGGAGAATGACACATCAATCTCAATGGATCTCTTGAGGAGACTGACTGGCAATCCCCTTTAATCCTACAGAGTGACCTGCTCCAGCCTACACTCACACCAAGCTCAGAGATGCTATGTAGCCACTTGGCCCTTTACAAGTTAATATTGTGCATTTTCTTTATTACTTACAGACTAACTGAATCAGAATTACCAGCATTTGAGAAAAAGGGGTAGGGATGTCTTGATTTCCTCTGGATTATGTAGTACAGCAATAGATGCAAAATACAGTGCAAAAAACTCCACTGAAGGAAAACACCTTTCAAACACTGTAAAACAGACTGTGACTTGTCTTTTCACTAGGGTAAGTGAAATGAGACATGCCTGTGACAGGTTGAATACTGCTGCATCTACACCTTACATATACAGGCAGCAGAAGGGAGCTAGCCCTTTTAACTGGTAGGCTAGGATCAAGGGCAAGTTTGCTGTACCTGAAAGAAGTCTTAGCATGGACATAGGACAATCCTGACAGTTTCTTTTCTATTTGTGCTCTCACATATATTAATGGGCTCAACTACAGTCTGTTACATCTTCAGTAAATTTTTTCAGTGAGTGTTTTATGGATAAAGAGCCTTCGCAGACATTTAAGACATTTACAGACAGCTGAAATTTAGTCTCCAATGCGCCACAAAAGGTCCCCCAACTTTAACAAGAACCAGAAAGGAAAATCTGAAGCCATAATTTAATCCTGGCTTTGGTACATCAGCTAAAACAAGATTTAAATGCAATGGTTGTCTCCATCCATTCTGCTCAAAGGCATGTGATAACAGCTGCATTATTTGGTATACTTAAACCAAGCCAACTGAAAACCCTATCAAATACATTGTTGGAAAGACCTGTGCACTGGTAGGGTAACAGGATGAAGTGGGTAAGCCATGAGGTCTTACCGTCAGTATTTCCCATCAATCTCCAGTTCTGCCTTGGAGAAGGTGGACACACACACAATTACAAACCCAACAGCATATACTGGACTATTGGTGCAACAACAAACTCCCACGTGTGCAGCAAACCAGCTGACAACATTGGAAGACAAGCAAAATGTCAGGTAATGCTGCCAGGTCACCGCATTGTCCCACAGGGACCAAATACAGCTGGGAGCCATTCTTCTGACCGGCTATCCTGGGCTGCTGAGTAGAGGGGCCTGCGGAGTCTCTCCACTGTGGAAGAGTGCTAGCGTGTTCCCTATTTTTAGGTTTTTATTTCCATTTTCTGGGTTGAATTTTCCCTCCATAAACATCTAGCAAAGCATTCATAGTTTTCTACAGAACTTGACTGAAATGCTTGCGCTTTGCTCTTTGCAAATAACCATCACGTAGGGGCAGATCAAAACAACGTACAGTCAACTTAAATGTTAATTGAACACTGTCAGTGAGCATAATTGAGGAAAAAAAAAGTATAACCTTTTGCAGATGCCTTAAATTGAAACTACACACTGACAAACAGTAAGGTGCCTTAAATTGAAACTACACACTGACAAAAAGGTAAGTTTAAAACACACCTTTGAGGTTCTAAGGCAGCAAAACACACATTATTCTGGTTTTATTATGTGTCTTGTAGGAACAGAACAAGCATTTGCCTGAACATCTGAAGCCTAAGAATAAAATTAAAAATACAAAATACTATTAACTGCATAGTAGTTTGCTCTTTGGATGTGCTTCACCTCTTTTTCCTCAAATACTTTGTTTGGTACATGGAACTTCAGATGCTCAGCATTATTCTGAAGCAAGCACTACCAAATTCCCTTGCTTATAAGGGAAAATTACACCAATATTACTCTCTCCAGGTGATATGGTTTCTGCCCCACTCTGTCACTCTTGTGTTTTCACCTTGTTGGTGACCACAAGGTCTCTCTCCACGTCCACATTAAAGCTGTACAGAGGAAGGATGAATGAAGATAACAAGGTGAGCTTTTGAAACTACAGCTGAATCTGAGGCCACATTCAATCAAGTTCTGTTTCCTTCAGTCAGCACCTGTCTTCTATAAAAGGACATGAAATATGTCTTCATTCAAATGCAGGATTATTACTATTCATATATTATCTAAATGACGCAATGAATTATTCAAGACTGGTGTTGAATAATCTCTCACGGGATCTAAAGACACACTTGGTTTTAGAAATTCTTTCTCATTAAACATTTCACTCTTCAAATCAAGCCATACTTGCATTTCAGTGGCTGATGCAATACAAAAATCTAAGTGTAATAATCTGGTATTTTTTCACAGTTTCCTCAGACAAGGCCTTGACAATCCCTACATAGTCTGATTTGAGAAAGAAATTTCTGAGATTGGATGCTCCCACCACAAGATTTCTTGCTTTGTCTGGTGATGAGAAATTCTGGGAAAGAATTGATAAAAGATCTTTACTAGTCCTTGAAAGGTTACAAGTTAGAGTTATAAAATGCAGGGAAATTATTGGGAAAAAAATACAAAATAAACTTTGGGGAACATAAAATTGGGCTTAGTGCATTGCTGTTGAGTTTGTTCAGAATGAACGCTGTGCTCCTGAAACCACTTTCCGTGCTTTAACTGAGAGAAAGCTTAGTGAAACATACCCATTACCAAAAGCTCATATGCTGAACTACCGTAAAGAAGGCGAGATACATAACTTTTCACTGTCTTTTTTTTGCCCCTAACATTCCTGTTCTTTCACATCTCGCTGGAGCAAGTCATTGGTTTGCCTTTCACAGATGTGCAGAAATATTGCCCCCAGCAGTACTCCTAGAAATGCAGTTCGGAAGATTTGCTTCATGTTGACTGCTGAGAACAATGATCACCTCAGTAAAACACTGATAAGGAAGAGTGAAAACAGTGTTTCCAATGCTACCAATGACATGTACAGTGTTGCTAGACAGGCCTGTTTCATTCCTGATAGGTATGATCTCCTGATGCAGAGTCACTGAAGGCCCTGAAGACCTTCTGTGAAGAGCAGTCCCAGGCATTGTATTTAACTAGTTCAGGCAGCTGAGCTTTTCCGAAGCTATCAGGCGGAGACACAGAGTGCTGTTACACGAAACGATCTTCTCTAAACCAATATCTGTTCTCTCAGAGATAAGGACAAGAAACGTAAAATTTTTCAAAGCCCCATTAATTTTATTGGTTTTAACCTGTGCTATGACATGCTTGATAAGAGCAGTGTATTTCATTCTCTTCATTGTTGTAGCATTTGCAATCTTCAGCTATTCTTCACGGTAGGTACAAGGCGATCCACACTGAGAAATGCAATGCTGTGTTAAGGAAAGATTGCAGCAATTCTCATTTTTCCTCCTTTCCTTTATCTGTGTGTTCTTTACTTCTGCCAGCAGCCACAACAGCTGGCACAAATGGGCACGAATTCTAAAATGGGCACACACAGAAGTGGTTTCATGTTTTTCTTACACAGTTCTGCTTCACTTTTTGAAAGATTGATTGCATTACAGGCTTTGCAGATAGTCAGAGTGCTCAAAACCAACACTTGAATCAGAGATCGTCTTGACAGGTCAGCTCTGCAAATCTTTGTGTGCATTCAGGGCTTCTATCCTTCAGACAACTGTTCTCTCTGTGTTTGGTCTTAACTTTATCAGAAGCAGGGGATCACTTTGCACAAACATGTTCACCCTGTTCCACCTTGCTCAATGCCCAGAATACAAGCCAGACCCCAAAACAACATTTCTTTGTTAAATACAGCTGCCACAAAACCTGTTTTGGCATCTCACAAATGTTTAGGCATGACACCAGTTCCAAAAAAAGTCTCAAACCTGAGGCCACCCTTACCTTTCAAGGACTGAAACTAAGAATTGACTAAATTTACATTAAAAAAAGCTGAAGTCCCACACGCCACCTCTCAGTTCACCTCTTCCCCTGCATGACCTTCCAGCCACTACACCAGCCTTTCTCCAATAACTGCTATTCATACTGATGCTCCACTGACTTCTTGGCTCCAAAAATTGCGCTGGCCACTCTCTAACCCCATGTGCCCCTTTCCTACTGACTCAAGTGCAGGCAAAAAGCTTTTAGGCCAATCCCACAGGCAGCACCAGGACTCTTTCAATACACTTTCTGCAACCCCACAAACCACCGCACACTCCACCTGATGGTCTTATACAGGGTCCTTTCAGGCTCTTGTCCATGGGTGTTCATGCTGAAATGATGTTATGCCAATAGGTGGGATGAACAACAAAAAAATATTTAGTCCAGAATTTCACTGCCATTTTTGTGATCTCACAGAAATGCACTAAACTTTGCAAAAAGTTTCTTTGCATAAAGGGAAATTGCCATGCAGACCTTTGACTGACCTGTTATGGCTGGCTGTACATACATTCTTATCTAAAACCCCCTCTTTCTGGCAGCTCACTTACCAAACACAGCCTGTTTCCTTCCTATTTATCTCATCAGCAAAGATGAATGGATGGATGGAGCCTAGCTATGTCTGCTCCTGATCTTTCCTTTCCAACTCTGATCTTGGCAAGCAATAGCACAGCTCAGGTCCCTCGCTCTCCCCCTGTGATGCAGGCAAGCCACATACAACAAGACTAGGAATTTACAGAGGCTGCCTAGGGCTGAATGACAAAACCTAGAGAAGCCCTTTCAAATATCTTTTTTTTTTTTTTTCCTTCTTTTTTTCTCTCTCTGACCCAGTGGAGAAGACTCTGCATTCAGGGTGATAGGAAAAAGTATAGAGGAAAGCTCAGCACATGGCTGTAGAAGACTCAGGGACTCCAGGAGGGCTCTTAAGGGCAAAGCTCCACCAGGGCCCTTCCTTATCTACTTTGCTCTAGAGCACTTTAGGCTCTTCCTATTGTGGCTTACGGTTTCCTGCACTTCTCATGTGAGAACTGAGGGCATCAGATTAGGAAAGCTAGGAGTGAGGAGGATGACATAACTCTCTGGGACAGTCTCTGGTGAAATGCATAAGACCTGGCAGACCTGCATGTTATATATGTATACAGAATGTACACACTATGTACGTGTAGATAAGGGCAATCTGTAACAATACAAAGATCTAAAGAATAAGTGATGTATTGGACTTGGTTTTGAGCTCAGTAATATCACTAAAAGGCAGGAAAACTCCAGTGCTGTCAGTAAAGTTAAAGCCACAGAATATATGAGAACAAATGAGAGAGATCTCACAACTACAAGTTTTGTGTAAGCTTACTCTGCAAACATTCGTTCTACTACGCTTACAGACTGAGAAAGCAAAAAAACCCCAACTTCTTGGAGCCAGACTCTTCGTGTATTTTAAATCAGGTAAAATGAGCTGGTTTAATTCATAATGCAAGTCAAACTGGCAGTATAAGACCCTCTTTGACAGTATGAATAAACCCCACATAGACAAAGATAAATAGAAGGGTGCTGCATGCAAAATGAGAGTGAAGATTGTTAGACACATGTATATTTTATTAAGAGGCATACACTTCTCCTACATCAGGAGTAACCATATAAATCATGAGACCTCAGCTCACAACCATTTAACAATCTTCTATAAATACCAACTAAAAATATTCACCTGAAACACATTTGTTTCAATTCACTTCACTGTGCCTATAAATAATCTCCTTGTCAAACAGGAACCCATGCTGATCCACAGATTACTCTACTCAGTCCACACAAATCACTCCTTGCAATTTCAATAAAACACTCAAAGACTTTGAAGAATCGTAAATAAGCAAAGGATTAATAAACTCTCCCAATTAATCCTAACTTAGAGTTCCCTATTTATGCACGCCTAAACCACAGCATTCATCAGATTTCTCAACACCTGTCCTCCAGGTGGATGCTTACCTGAGCTGTTGGATTAGATCTTCCCCTTCTTTAATAACATTAAGGGTAGCATCCAAGGTGGCTGTTTGTTGCTGCTGAAACTGCTTGATAAGCTCCTGAACTGCATCCACAGAGTCAGCACAGACATCCTCTAAGAGCTCCTTCTGCAGATCTTCCATCCATGTCCACAGCTGGGAAGGAGGGGAGGGAAATATAAATCAGAGAGGGATTGAGATTTAACCCTTTTGCTCTCTAATTCCAGATCAGTAAGTATTAACTAGGGCTGTATGTTTCACATGAAAACTGAACGAAAGTTGCTAAAAACAAAAAGATATATTGGTTATTGATTCTGGTTGATGCAATTCCATTTCAAGCAACAAAGTAAGATAAATATAATGTCAGGGTTTGTTTTGGTTTTTTTTTTTCCCAAACCTAATGTGCATTTCAGTTTTTTTATATGACAATAAGTAATTACATTATTCCGATTAACTCTTTACACAAATAACAAATTACAATGCCCTACAGCTGTGATAACCTAACCCTTTCAGGAGATGTGTGCTATCAGCTGCTATTAATTTCACACACAGCTGAAGCCTGTTGCAGAACAGACCTAAAATCTTTGGTGTGTATGTATGGTACTGACTGAAGTCTAGCTGTGCCTGCTCAGCTATGCCTTCCCAGGCAGAAGGTTTTGTGGAGGGTTTGGTTTGGATTTTTTTTTTGGTTTGGGTTTTCTGTGCATTTCCACCACTTACCCCCCTCCTCAAAATGCACCTCAAACTCTGCTTTTTAACTTTGGGAAAATCCAAACGTAGGAGATAGCAATATCACCAATCCCATGCAGATCCATTAATTTTAAATAGTCTTGACTACCAATTTCAAAACAACAACAACAAATCATTTGAGTAAGTGCTTAGATGAGAATTTCCAGCCAGCTGTTCATCAGAGATCTGGACAGTGGCAGGCAAGCCCCAGCAGCCTCTTGTTGGCTGTAAAGGCTTAAAGCAGACAGAGGTTTCCCCTTTAAGCTTGCTGTGAAAAGTGAGTGTAAAATTGCACCAACTGAGCTGGCAGTCTGCCAGCAAATCCTAATGACTCCACCAGAGAGACTATTTTCTGTGCCATGCCTGCCCCATTAACCCACATTCTGCTGGTATCTTCTGCAAGGTAGCAGAGAAGTACAGGAGCGGGAAATGACACATTGCACAGGGGCGCTGGGAAATGTCTAAGGCCGTGGTGCCGGTGGCAGCAGGGCTGCACTTCTGCCTGCCGTTCCAGGGAGCTGCAAAGAAGTTTGTCTCAAAGGGACCTAGAGGTACACATGAAGCAGACAACAGACGTTGTGTGGGGGTGGCAAAAGAGCTGGTGAAAATGTTCCTGTTCAAAATGAGGCACGCTGGATCCCCATCCTACAGGATTTCTTCTGAGACTGTGAATTCTGCATGTCCATGTAAAACGAGAGGAGGAGAGGAACATCTTAAGTGCCGTCTGGCAAGGCTTCTCACGATTAGGGTCCAAACCTAAGGCCGGTCATCAAATGTTACATTATACGCACGCTACTGACTTCAAGGATATCATGCTGATCTAAACCAAAATCAAAATCAGAACCTATCCCAGCACTGCTCATAATATCAGAAAAGGGAGAGCCCAGCTCCCTGTGCTATGTCCCCACCTCCGCTACCGACTCTTTGCTTGACTCTTTGCTTTCAAAAACAAGTTTTAAAACATATGCTTAATTTGAAGGCTTTTCAGTTAGATTTTCAGAGTCAGCTTTGAATATTTTGGGTAAACGCCTCTGTTTATTCATAAATAGCATAATCATAATGGCCTACCCTATTACTGGCCTGAAATGGAATGTCTTTGCTCAGGTTATTTACATATTTTCACATTCTCAGGAGAAAGACATGATATAAAAAGGCAACTATTAATGACAGAAACAAACATAATTAAGTGGTCAGGCTTGTGAAATAAATGAAAGAATGAAAACATATTTAAAGAACCAAATAGAGAGCTTTTTCATTTGTGGCCTGAGGTCCACAGGCTGAACTTTGGGAAGCCACCATAAAGGAAAATGCATTAATGCCTTTATATACTAATTACATTCAGACTTTTCCTGGTTTTGATCTGATTCCTGCACCCACTCAAACAGTAGGGACAGCTGGACTGTAACAGGCGAGGACCAAGTTGTTCAGGAATATTACTTTCTCTGCTTATCAGATCTTCAAGTAATAGAGCACTTTGTAAATATAGAAGAGAAAAATGGCCATGCATATAAATCATCCTTCGGTTTCAAGTTGGGAAAGCCAGTAGTTTTTTAATTTCTTGCTGTTGTCATATTTCATTTTTTCACTTAAGGTAACAAGAAAAGCTCGGGGAATTTCCTTTACAAAAATGAAAGTGAAATTGAGAACTTGCTTCATTGTTAGGAATATGCTGTTTTCTTGAAATTATCATGTTAGAAAGGGCAGAGGAGAAAGTTTCCGATCCCCCACTGTGACTTCAGAGGAAAACCCTGTTTTCAAGTGTCTCCAGAACCCAACTTTCAGCAGCAGCCAAAAGGATTTGGACATTTAAGATCCTAAGTCACTTTTTGAGAACACTTCTAAATCAAAGCAGTTTTGAAATACTTAAACTGTACTGTACCTGGAACCGAAACACTCATTAATTCAGAGAGCACTCAAATGTATTATTTCATATTAGCTTCAGATGTTTCCATTAATGACCTCTGATTGTAAGGATTTGCATAATAAAATCTATCAGAATCTAGGTCAACCTTGACTCGGAGGCCTTTAATCCTTTAGACTCCACCAATCCCTGGGAAATCCTAATACAAAGAATCAGTCAATATTAATAAGATTAGGACAATCTTTCAGGAACAATTTACAACAGGAACCTGATTCAAAAACCACCTAGGTTATGTGCTACAGCTAACAGCACCTGAAATAAATTACTACCAAGCCCCACTTGTGAATGCCACAGCAATGAAAAGATGAACTGCAAGTCACTGCAACACCAGAGTCAGAATCACAGCTCAGGAAAATCAGTCCCTATAGGGCTTGATGTTTAATTCCAATGCAACCGTTCAACTGATTTAAAAAAATCCTATTAAAACCCCCTATCACCAGATAACTTGTGCATTTCCTAATTCATGCTGCAACCTACTCTGAACAGCTAGCTAGCTTAGACTGAGTGAACTGTTTCAATTTTTCATTGAAATTTGACATATTACACAGGACAACTTTTCTCTCATATTTGCGGAAACTGACTTTCTTCTTTTATTCTTAGCATGAGCAAAATTTGTGAGCACCTGTCCCATTCACATACATACTCCAAACTACTGCTAATGTATCACTTGATCCTGTACAGGAGCCGTATGTAGATGCATGCAGACATTGCAAATACTAACACAATATTTTCACATCCAGCTGTGGTGACTTTCACTAAGCTTGCCAGTGCTGCGTATGTCCAGAAAAGGAGATAATCTCTGCATTGTATTACTTAACATGTACTAAACCAAAGATACAGAATCCTGGAAAAAATGAAGAAATAACACAAAAAATAATTTTTGTTCTTCCTTCAAGATGATCTATGCTTTGGTATGATTAATTGGATATGGAAATACTAATGCATTAGTGGTAAAACCTGAATTAAGTCCATGAGAGAGATCCAGCCACAAATCTGACTCATGCAAACTATGTCTAAAAATGCCATAGTTGTCAGCTACACAGATGTCTAAGGCAAATACCCTAAAACGTCCATGCTGAAGGTCCATAGAGGCTCCAGAATTGAGGCTGTATTTATCAAGGTAACCATGGCTTTAGATAAGAAAAACAATTCTCTTCTGATTACTAGACCAGTGGAAAAAAAGAATGACCCCCCTCCCCTTCTTTTGGGGGAACATTTGGCCCCTCTCATGCATTTTAACAACTTCTGTGTCTTCCTTGGCTATAGAACACAGGCAGTTTCCCTCCATCCAAGAGACAATGTATCTCTTTATTCCCAGCTATTTCATCTGATGCAATACCCTTCATTTTACTCAAGTACTTAATGAGACCACTTACTGGAGGTTTGAAGGACATCTGTGCCTGTTACCTAGAAATTAATGCTTCTAACTTAGAGCAAGGGACCACTTTAAACAAAATCTAAAATCTAAAGAGATTGCTAAGAAAATCTTGCCTGCGTGTTTGGAATAACTATTAAATACCCAGAGTCTATAGTCTGCTTTTTGCAAATGCTAGAGATGAGTTTTAATCCACTCAAAACCAGTTTAAAAACACTGAGTAATGGGAGCAGTGAAAAGCAAAGAACCAGTCAGTTCAATCCATGACAATTACCATCATACATTTTTGCTAGTTGTTCAAAACAAGGATGTTAATGGAAACAAGCAACTTTCCAGGGTATATGTTCTACCCCTTTGCTATGTCAGAGAAGTGTCATGTCTTGCAGTACAGGCCCCAAAAGGATGCTCATGCCAACTCAGTAAAGTGAACATCCATCACAGCAAGGAAGGCTACAGCAGAATGCAGAAGAATTTAGTGAAATATGGAGACCCTCTTTTCCCACCTGATTTGCACTGTTTCCACTCCATGAGTTGTGACATAAGTGTGCAGAGACCCAAGGGCAGGTTGAGAAAAAAACCCAAACATAAACATAATTGCTCCAGCGAGAGATGTCCATCAACCCTATTTTCCTCTGCTACTATGCCAGGCTTATACAAACCTATTCTGAGCAGTAACATCTATCTTTTTCATAACATGCATTAGGAAGTCACATAGTCCCCAAGTTCAGGCTAATTTATAGCAGGACTTCAGCCTGTGCTTATGTTTAAACACCTGTTCAAGTGCTGTTGTGAATCTGGCTTCACTGCACACCCTTTAGGAAATTGCCTTTTCTACCTTGATTTTGCCGCACTAACATGGTGGAGATAATAAAACTTTTCAGCACAATTAACCTTCATCAGCTGATATTTATTCACACTTAGAATGCATCCAGTGCCATTTCAGTTGAAAGAACTGATGGTTGTTATAAATTGGAAACATATTTCAACAACCTTTTCCAAAGTCATATTCAAGGTCTCGTAGAAATGTCAACAGAAACACAGAAAACAATGTATGTAATGATGAGCTGTAATGTGACCACATGCCACCAGTGAAGTGTCACACAACGACACCATACCTAACACAATGTGGGC